TTCATATTCCATATTCCATATTTCTGTTCCATATTCCATATTTTTTTTCTATTCCATATATTTTTTTTTTGCTTTTTGGGGTCACACCCGGTGATGCACAGGGGTTACTCCTGGCTTTGCACTCAGGAATTACCCCTGGCAGTGCTCAGGGGACCATATGGGATGCTGCGAATCGAACCTGGGTCAGCTGCGTGCAAGGCAAATGCCCTACTCAGTGTGCTATCACTCCAGCTCCTCCATATTTCTTTTTTCCTTTTTGTTTTTCTATACTTTGATTTCTGCCACAGAATCCATCTCTAAATTCTCAATATCTGAACATCTGAGTCTAGATTTTCAACATAAATCTATGTTCCACTTATCATTGGTTTCCAGAAATTTGGGGGAAAGATTTTGTGTTTACTATGAGCATAAGTTTAGGTTTAATATTCTGAACATATTCTGAAAACACCAAAGCTTGAGTAAAGGGTTATAAAGCCTTATTTCATGTGTTTCTTTTATACTTAATTATAAATATTTTATAATACTTATTATGGAAATTCATATATGAAGAATAGGAACATATACAAGTCTCAAATTTATCCTTACATATCTCACATTTTAGATTGACATAACAGAAGCATTAAAATAATGATCTTACAAAGTATGCTAATCTTCATTTAACAGATAACGATTCTAGCCCATAGAGTGAGTAAGAAACTTTATTTTCTCATTTATTTATTTATTTATTTATTTATTTATTGTGGTGCCAGGACTTATGGATACAAGGCCTAAACTTTACCACTGAATCCCAGCACCAGCCCTGAGAGGGTGAGAAACTTTATGTAGCTCACTCAGCAAGCAATGGTAGTGATGGTCTTCAATATTAGAGTTCCTTCCCCTAAAATGTATTACCCTTATATATGTTCCCTTTAACAAGGTAAAAATTGATGTGCATGAACAATAGTGATGCTCAGTGGAATAAATAATAAGGATTTCTTGTGGAAATATTTCTGTGGCTGGGTATGGTAAGAGGACACTTTGGGCAGAGATTGAATCAAGAATCAGAGCCATCATTTTTTAACTGGGGGCTGTATGTCTCCCCTATAATCCCCAGGATATTCCAAGGGGAGAAATAAAAGTTGAATAAATGGGGAAACCACAGAAAATAGTAGGACACCAACAATGGAAGAATAAAGGTGTGAAGGGGACAATCACTTGTAAAATTTTGTTAACAAAATGATTTAAACTTTTAAGATGTGGCTAGTAAAAGGGAAAGAGTTGCCAGTTTACCTGTAGGAGGACTGGCATGAGCCTCAGAATCCTGGAATGCACTGGAGGTATCCTTGAGGCTTAAAGGGTGCTCTTGTAGGTATACTTTAATCCCATCTAAATGCCAGCTGAGAAGACGAAAGCAAGAATATTCCCAGGGATAAGCTAAAGCCATGACTTATCCCCATGGGGTGCCATCACTCAATGCCCAGATCTCCTCCAGGAAGAATCAACCCAGTTTTCTTCTCCTCCAATGCCATATTCTTAATCGTTAGTGGAAGACAAAGTTTGTGAATGTCAAACAGTTCTGGATGTCAAGCAGTGTGCTTTCTACTGAAACAAGTTCTGGGACCTAGCTGTTGCCTTAGGGTTTGAATAATTAATAGGCTTATGGTGTCTTTGACTTTATAGTTCCCTTAAAAACATTTCAAGCTTTTCATCTATCTATATGCTTCTTATCCAGAGCCAAAGATCTTAACTACAACAGAATTAGCCCTAGAATTGCTGTCTCCCAGCCAAGAGCTTGTGCTCTGATGTCTCCCAGGTTCCAATTCTACACTACCTGTAATCCAGTCTTGCTACTTTCATCTTCCTAACCACCAAGAGAAGCAGCACTGTTGTTATTCTGATTGCACAGGTGGTGAAACTGATTCTTAGCAAAGTTAATATATGAGAAAGAAATGAGCAGAGGATGTCAGAATTCTTCTTCCTTTCTACGTCAGACTGGAATATGGCACAGGAGTTCTCCAGTGCATCTCCAGGTACATTCCACACAGTCCTTGCACATTCTTTATCAGTCATATCTTTTGTAAAATTTCTTCCTCTGTCCTTCGCCTGGGAATCACAAAAGCCTAAGCAGTAAGTGCCAGGAGTCCAATATCTGGATCCTTCATTTTGAAAGTTTGATCAGTTATGTGTGAAGCCCCACAGACTGCTCCTGCCCCACTGTGCTGTCAGAAGCAAGGGGAATAAATCCCCTCTCTGCCCAGCAGTAATAAGCTCATGCCTTCAAGCATGAAATTTGATTAGCACTTTTATCTCAGTCATATCACTTGGACTGTTATTATAGGTCATAAAATTTGCTGAGTCCCACCCACCCAACCCCCTGTCAGTGTGACCCTGGTATAGGACTCAGTGACCTCCAGAAAACAGGAGCAGGGCTTACTTCCTGCTAATAGTGGAACTTTGTTGCGTTCACTTCTATGAACTTGCATATATAAGCCAAGGTAATGCTGCCAGAAAAGGGAGTTCACGTTATAGGGAAAACTAAAGATTACAGATATTGAATTTTGCAATTTTAGAGAAAGCAGAGTATGTACCAAACATGTGTTACTGCATTTATAGCGCAAAGTCTGTTCCAAATCATAGAAGAGTCGCATTTCCACTTTAAAAAATGAGTTGAAAGTCTGTATCTAGAAATTGAAATTTATAGTGATTTCCCAAACTGATTTGCAAGTTGGAGTATTCTAATGAATGCTTGATGTTAAAAACACATATTTAGGTCCTATAGCAGACCATTTGCATATGAATTCATATTTCTCAGAATTCAGCTCAGGACTGCAGTTGCCATCCTATTGGATAAGTGTTCTGGGATGTACTGCTGTAGTGAAGCTAATTGGGTCTGTCTTTACTTACAATCCCTGAAGATCTGATAAATCTGGGATTAGGTACTCTGGTTTCAGGATGCCTTTTAGAACCATTAAAACTTTAGTAAAGAGAGGACTTTCCTCCAAGCTTTCATGGAGTTGGGCATGGGCTATCTCTCCCTATCTCCCTGCACATTCCAGAAGCCTCAGCAGTCATGCCCATGAACCACCTCTGGTGCCAAGTAAACTCATTAACCAGCCATGATACAGAAACTCATAAATAAATCTTGAAAGAGATCAACAAGTTTCAGAGATGCTTCAGACCCCATACCAGGCTGAGTTGTCCTGGGTACCAAAGTCACCATGCAGTTAAAAATTTAACTCCAGCTGTATCACCCCATTCAAAATTTTGGAATTCCTGGAGTGAGCACATTCAAAGCTGCGCGACATCTCAAACTCTACATCAGAGATAAACCAGGAGTAACACATTGGATGAGACATAAAGTAGAAGGCAACCAATTTCAATTAACAAAATATAAATACCCAAGGCTTAACCTGTAACCACATGCATGCTAGTAATTTCCTTTACAGGGGCTAAATGGCTCCATGGTGAGATATAATAATCTTCAAACACTTTCTAAGAAAACACTTTTTGATCATTTTTAGCAAATTATTTATAACAAGAAATATAAAATAAGTTATTCAGGGCCTGCCTGCCATAGGGGCAGTCTTGAAGGGTGGTAGGGAAAATTGAAAATAATGGTGGTGGAAAGGTGAAATATTGGGGATAGAATACTGGTGTGACAAATCATCATAAACAAGGCAAGCTGGAGTGAGAGCACAGCAGGTAGGGCATTTGCCTTGCACGTAGCCGACCTGGGTTTGATTCTTCCACCCCTCTCAGAAAGCCCAGCAAGCTCCCTGTGACATATTCTTTGTGCCAAAAACACTAACAACAAGTCTCACAATGGAGACGTTACTGGTGCCCACTTGAGCAAATCGATGAACAACAGGAGGACAGTGCTACAGTCCAGTGCAAAACATGCAAATTTTAAAAACGAGAGAGAGAGAGAGAGAGAGAGAGAGAGAGAGAGAGAGAGAGCGAGCGAACTTTTTGTTTTGGTTTGATTTTATTGTTTTGTTTTTATTGTTGTTGGTTCTGGGAATAGAACTTATGTCCCCACCCATTCTCTACACTGAACTACATCCACAGGGTAGGAAAGAAAGTCAGTACGTTTTTGGAGAATGCACACTACCAAGGACAGGGACAGTAAGTCAGAGTAAAGTCAAAACACAGGCCTTGGACGTGACCCAACTGGAGTTTGATCCTTGGTACTCCATATGGTCCCCTGAGCTTCACTAGTAGTAATCCCTGAGGGCAAATCCAGGAACAAGCCCTGAGTCCCAGTGAGTGTGAGCCCCCTAGAAAAAAAATTTTTTTGCTTGTTTTTTCTTTGTTTTGAAGGAATAATTGATTTGTTCGGGTTACAAAGTCTATCAGAAAACTGTACCGTCAATACATTCTTCTAGTCTCTAGTTTGCTGAGTTACATAATGCTGCAATTAGATCAAACATTCTTAGTTTTACTAAAATTATGTTTATCATTTTCTCTTTTTATGCTTATGGTATAGATTTTATATTTTTTCATGTTGTCCTTGCATTATTTTGTGTAAATAATTGAAATGAGATAGATGTCAAAGTTAAATCTTTCTCATTAACTTTTTCCATTAACTAGTTTCAGCATCAGAATTTAGAAAGGCAATGCTTCTTCACTGATTTTCAATGATTTTTTTCTTGTAAATTAAATGATGACACATATATGGACCATTTCTGATTTCTCTACCTTTCCCTATTAATCTACATTTACAACCATACTATACTATTCTAGTATTCCAATGCTCTAGTGTTGTAATGCCTTGAAATTTAGAAATTACCGCCCTCTTGAGGATGCATTTTGAGAATTATTTTTCAATATTAAGGTTGATTTTTTAATATTGTCTTGATCATTTAAGATTTGAATTTTCAAAATGTAACCATCTTGTCACTTTCCAAAAAAATAATGTTGTAATTTTGACAGTGGATTGAATTTCCACATCAATTTGGGAAAAACTGGTAATATTAAGCTTCTCATTCAATGTACATGCAATGCTTATCTCTTTATTTAGATCAGTTTTGATTTCTCAGCTGCCGCGCGTACTCGATCACCTGCTTGGCCAGTTCTGTGGAGGGGATGGTCGTGTCTTCCGGCTTCTGCTGCTGGCTGGCAAAGCTGTAGTAGTTGTTGAGGCCCAGGACCCACCCGCGCTTCTTGGCGTAGTCTGTCATCTTTTTAGGGGTACTGAAGAAGAGGATGCGGGTGGCTTCAGTGAAGAGGATTTTCTCGTAGGCTTTCTCGATGCACCCCGCAATCTCATCCCTGATGGTGTCAAGCAGGATGTCGATGAAGAAGGTATAGCTCTCAGCTGGGATGTTGCCTTTGGCCAGGAACACCTTGTTGTAGCTCCCCTCCATCAGGTACTGCTCAAGGGACACGGGATGCTTGATGTACACATTGGTCTGGATGTCCTTGGCAGGCAGCCGCTCCAGCTCCGTGTGGAATTCAGCCACCCGGTTCTGGGACAGCAGGAAGAGGAGGTTGAGGCCCAAGAGCTGGTGCATGTAGGCCGACTCAGGAAGCTGATCCTTGTAGTCAAAGTAGTAGCACTTGAGCTGAGCCATGTAGCGCTCGAAGGACGGGATATCTTTGCGGAGGATGCTCCACTGGGCTCCGATCTCCAGGATGTCACGAGCCAGAATGAGCTGCTGTCTGGTCAGTTTGGTCCCAGTGGTTGGCAGGAAATTGAGTTCCAGGAGAACCAGCTTGAGACGGCCCAGCTCTTCGCCGCATTTGCTAAGATTGGGGCTTTTACGGTTCCACTCGCCCTTGAGCTGCTCGTACATGCCGGCCGCTGCCTGCAAAACGGCGCCCGAGGCCGCCGCCGCGGGCCCGGACCCCGAGAGGCCCGTGGCCCCGTTCACCGCCGCCGCCGCCATCTTCCGTGATGCGGCAAACCGCCGGCCCCACTTACGGCAGCAACGCCGCCGGACGCTCATTGAGGTTTCTCGGGAGTTCAAGATGCCGCTCTGCTTAACGTTCATTGATTTAAAGAAGGCCTTTGATTCTGTTGAGACGGAAGCGGTCATTGAAGCCCTAGCCAATCAGGGCATTCAAGCCCAATACATCAGGATCCTCCGTGAGCTGTATTGCGGATTCACTACCAGGATCTCACCATTCTACAAAGAAGTGATCGTTGATGTCAAGAGAGGGGTGCGGCAGGGTGATACCATTTCACCAAAACTCTTCAGTGCCACCCTCGAGAACATCATGCGACGACTGGAATGGGAAGGAATGGGAGTGAAGATAGATGGTCGGCAACTACACCACCTCCGCTTTGCTGATGACATTGTTTTAATAACACCAAACATCAGCCAAGCGGCACAAATGCTGGCCGACTTTGACCGTGAGTGTGGAAAGGTAGGACTACAGCTGAATCTTACGAAGACAATGTTTATGAGAAACAGCCTTGTTCCTGACGCCCCATTCGCTCTCAATGGAACGACCATCTCCGAATGCAACAGCTATGTGTACCTAGGTCGAGAGGTCAACATGACAAATGACCTGGCACCCGAGCTGCGCAGGAGGAAGAGAGCGGCTTGGAACGCCTTCAAGAACGTCGAAGAAATAGCTAAGAGGACAAAGAACCTCCGGCTCCGGGCACATCTCTTTGATTCCACTGTTCTTCCTGCATTAACATATGCCTCAGAGACCTGGGCCCTACGCAAACAAGATGAGAACGCCATTCAGGTCTCCCAAAGAAGAATAGAAAGAGCTATGCTTGGAATATCACGTTTCACTCAAATGAGAGAACGAATCCGGAGTTCTGACATCCGTCGACGATCAAGGATCAGGGACGCTGTCTCATTTGCCAAGGTGTCGAAAATCAGATGGGCTGGTCACGTAATGAGATTTAAAGACGACCGTTGGACTAGAGCTGTTACTGATTGGATTCCACGGGATGTCAAGAGACCGCGTGGCCGCCCACCTACCAGATGGTCAGACTTCTTTGTCAAGGTCATGAACGATCGGTTTGAGGCCCTCCATGTTCCCGGAGCGAAGAGATGCCATTGGGCTACACTAGCACGCGACAGGGACAAATGGAGACGTTACTGGCGCCCGCTCGAGCAAATCGACGACTAACGGGAAGTTAAGTGATTAAGTGTGATTAAGTGATTTCTCAGCAATATTTTTTATCACTTTTAGTGTAAAAATATCACATCTTTTGTTAATTTTAAATTTATTAATTTTGATAGGTATGGACTGGAGCAATAGCACAGCGGGAAGGGCGTTTGCCTTGCACACAGCCAACATAGCCGACCAGAGTTCGATTCCTCTGCCCCTCTCGGAGAACCAGGCAAACTACCGAGAGTATCTCGCCCGCACGGCAGAGCCTGGCAAGCTACCCGTGATGTATTCGATATGCTAAACACAGTAACAACAAGTCTCCAATGGAGACGTTACTGGGCCCGCTCGAGCAAATTGATGAACAACGGGAGGACCGTGATAGTAGTATAAGCTATTTTTAATTTCCAATTGCTTTTTGCAATAAATGTATATTTTTAATATATTTTTGTTGTATCTAGCATCCTTATCAGGGAGATGCAGATCAAAGCCACAATGAGATATCATTTCACACGACAGAGACTGGCCCACATCCACAAGAACAAAAGCAACCGGTGCTGGTGCGGATGTGGTGAGAAACGGACACTCCTTCACTGCTGGTGGGAATGCCGACTGGTTCAGCCCTTTTGGAAAACAGTATGGATGATTCTTAAAAAATTAGAAATTGAGCTCCCATTTGACCCAGCAATGCCACTCCTGGGAATATATCCCAGAGAAGCAAAAAAGTATAGTCAAAGTGACATCTCCACTTGTTTGTTCATTGCAGCACTCTTTACAATAGCCAGAATCTGGAAAAAACCTGAGTGCCTGAGAACAGATGACTGGTTAAAGAAACTTTGGTATATTTACACAATGGAGTACTATGTAGCTGTTAGAAAAGATGAAGTCATGAAATTTACATACAAGTAGTACTACATGGAAAGTATCATGTAAGTGAAATGAGTCAGGAAGAAAGGGATAAACATAGAAAGATTGCATTCATCTGGGGAACATAAAGTAACAAAATAGGAGACTAATACCCAAGAATGGCTGAGATTAGTACCAGAAATTTTGCTCTATGGCTCAACTAGCTTCTTAATTCTAACAGTTGATACACTGTTTTGGAATTTCAATATAAATTGCTATGTCAGGTGTGAATAAGAGAGTTTTGCTTATTTCTTTCTATTCTTTAAAACTGTATTTTAACTGTCCTGTGGTATTTGTTTAAATTCTCCAGTTTCATACTTGGGAAGAAAAATAGTTAATAATAGATTGTCACATCATCCCTGATTTTAGTGGAGAAAGATTTCACTATCAGTCACTATCAATCACTATCACTATCACTATCACTATCACTATCACTATCACTATCACCCCGTTGTTCAACAGTTCACTCAAGCGGGCCCAGTAACGTCTCTATTCATCCCTGTCATATGCTAGTGTAGCCCAATAACATATTGGGGGCTCCTTCAGAATCAGGGGAATGAGGACCATTCATTGTTACTGTTTTTGACATATTGAGTACACCACGGTTAGCTTGTCAGGCTCTGTGGTGAAAGTGGGATACTCTTGGTATCTTGCCGGGCTCTCTGAGAGGGATTGAAGCTTTTGGGGAAGCCTCTAATTTTCACAGGTGTTCCAAGCCAGGCATATAGGCAGGTATGATACTCTCAGTAGCCTGCCGGGTTCTCTGAGAGTGAGAACTAGAGAATAAGAGGTCTTCCGGGAGCTTGGTTTTAGAGTCTCTGGATCCTGGCCATTGTTGGGGTTACACAGCAGTTGGTGGGTGTAACTGTCTAGCTACTGGAAGGTGGGGGAGCTGGATGGAGGAGGCCCAGTCCCGAACTGAGCAGGCTTGGAGATCTCAGCCCCGCGTCCCGCACACCAGGGTTCCTCTGCTGGTTCCTCGTCCAAGCATGTGAAGAGTGGTCTTAGCATGGCTTTGACTGGGTCCTGGAGGTCTTCAGCTGTCGGGGCTCTGCTCAGGGCAGAGAGGGAAACTCAATTCTCCCTCCTCCAAGGGCCCCGGTGTTGAGTATGTTAGCTATAGGTTTCTTGTCTTTCTTTTTAAAGGTTCTTTGAATGTAATGATACTTTAGGAGAAGTTCCTTTTCAAATTTAGGAGAATTGATTTTTAATTACATCATATGTCAGCATCCATTGATACAATTTTGTGTTTTTGTTATTATTATTCCCTTAGAGTGATAAGTTATGCTGATAAAATTTTGAATATTAAATAATTTTCTCATTTTTAAAAATTTGTGATAAATTATGTTCATAGAATTTCAAATATTTAATTATTTCTCACTTTAAAAAATTTGATTATTATGTTGCAATATACTGAAAAGTCCAATTTTTAGAATGTGAGTTTCCAAAAAGAATAAAGATATGGTGGGCCATGGCAGGAGACTCTAGTTTTGGGTGGCTGAGAGCCACCCCCCCATGCCAGATGACAGGCAAGGATGGGGGAATGGAGAAACAGGAACCAGGCCCCAGGTTGGGCAGTAGTCTGTTTATTTCTTTCTCCTTCCCAGAGTAGTCTGATCTCTCCCTTTATGGGTGCAGTCGTGGTTAAGTTTTGGTCATAGTCCTGGTCATCAGAGTTTCATCAAATCTTTAGTTATATCCTCTTCCTTGTCTTGACATAGTCTCATAGTCCTCTACTTCCAGTCATTGTCATCAACTGGTTCTCCTTCTAGTACCAAAGTATCCAAAGTCTCAGTTCTCCTCCTCATCTTCAACTTCTCGTTGTCAACCTTCTTGTCCTCAATGTCTAGTCCTCAGTGTCTAGTCTTTAGCATCTAGTCCCCAAGGTCTTCAACATCTCCTTCCCTCTTACCCCTTACAGGATAGTTCTATAGAAATCATGAAGGGTGGGGATACAAACAAAGGTAGGGTTAAACATTATCATAACAACAAAGAGATGTAAAGCTACTCCTACAGGGGATTAACTCCAGGATAAAATCTCATTTGAGGAGATTACTCCAGATTACTAGGAGACCCACTCAAAAATGGGATTCCATCTAGGATGTATTGCATTGTCCTTTCCTCAGCTAGTAATCCATTTCAACAATCATAGTAAATTTACTTCTTATAATATTTCTAGCGATGTCATTTTGTATGAACATAGTAAGATATATATTAAGCTTAAAGTTTGGCTCTTCCTGGGTATATCTCACTATATATTCCAGACCATACTCCTCAGGCCAGGTTAGTCTTTCCTAACTCCATCAGGGTTCTTATTCAGTTATTTCTTTTGGGATCATGACAGTATGTCCATGACCGTGCTCTTAACTTATAGTTAAGCATTATGGTGTTTGGCCTGGCCCATTTCGATGCCAGGTAGTCACAGCTTGTCCTGGGTCCATCCAGTCCCTGCTCTTAGAGTGCTAGGAACTAAGGGCAACTGAGGATTAAGTCAAGTAAATATGGATGCCCAGGAGTAAACATTATTTTGAAGTCAATTAACTTCCATGTTACATAGCATAGCATGAACTGTGCTGTATCTATACAAAAAAGAACATTGCTAAATAAACCATGCAGATGGCCACTTAATACCTGCATTGCAGACAGCAACACCCTAAAGGAGAGAGAGAGAGTAAACAGGGAATCTGCCTGTCACAGAGGTGGGGGCGGATGAAGGGCAATGGGAGAGGAATACCGGGAACATTGGTGGTGGAGAATGGGCACTGGTGGAGGGATTGGTGCTCAGTCATTGTATGACTGAAACATAAGCATGGAAGTTTGTAAGTCTGTAACTATATCTCACAGTGATTCATTAAAATAAAATAATAATAATGAAAATAAATAAATAAAACATACAAATGAAATAAAGAAAAGAGAAGAGCAATATAGGATTATTAGTGCCTGATGGAATTGGGTGTGC